TCGAGGGCGGCGGCAAGGCGGCGGGCAGCCCGCCGGCCTTCGAGGGCAGCGGCGGCGGCAAAGTCAAGGGGCGGCCGGGCTTGGGCGGCGGAGGGGCCGGCAAGAAGCCCAAAGAGCAGCGCTCGCTGCGCCTGAGCATCAACGCCCGCGAGCGGCGCCGCATGCACGACCTCAACGACGCCCTGGACGGCCTGCGCTCGGTCATCCCTTACGCGCACAGCCCGTCGGTGCGCAAGCTCTCCAAAATCGCCACCCTCCTCCTGGCCAAGAACTACATCCTCATGCAGGCGCAGGCGCTGGAGGAGATGCGGCGCTTGGTGGCCTACCTCAACCAAGGCCAGGGCCTCGGGGCCCCCATCCCGGCCAGCCTGGCCCCCTTCGGACAAGCTGCCGTCTACCCTTTCACAGCAGGCGCCCCTTTGCCCGGCTGCCCGGAGAAATGTACTGCCTACCCCGGGGCCGCTCCGGGCCTTTGCAAACATTGCAGCGACAAGCCTTGAACCGGGGACGGTCGGGAGCCCTCCCCACGCAAACAGCCCCAGAACACACAAAAAACGGCTGGTCCCCTTCTCCTCTCATCATCCCTACCACCACCACCACCTTAAGTTGCATTAAATTAAGTTGCGCTCTCCTCTTCGCTTTCAACTCTTCAGCCACCTTCCTGTGGAAACTAATCCGGATTCTTTTCTCTAAACTCCTTTTGTACTCTCCACTTCTCTGTTTTTTTCCTCTCACCACCACCCGGTCTAGTTTTTTTTTTCCCCCTACCCCACCCCCGGAAAAATTGTATTTTTAAAAACAAAGCACACATTATATTATTCTCTTTTTTCCAGCAATGCCACGGATTATTTTTGAGTGTAAAAGCAGGTGTTCTTTTTTTGTTGTTGTTTTTGGAGGCAGTTTTTGGAAACCGATTTCTATGCCTCTAAACCGAGGTTCCGTGAAAAGGGGTCGTCGTGGTGAGATTCTCTTTGGGGGGCGAACTGACTCATGTTCAAAACTATGCAATGTTTACAGAATGCCAAGTTATTAAAATGCAAGCTCTCCGGGCAAGGTCGCCAACTATAATTGGCAGTTTCAATATGATCAGAAATGCAGATGTTGTCTTATTTGTTTCATTTAATTTGGGGGCTTCTTTGCGAAGAAAATGATGCCCCTTAAATGGCGCGACCAGGTTATTTATACTTGCATATTTCTAAGCTTTGAACTCGTTTTTGGACTTGACAGCAGTTTGTTGATTGTACCTTATCGGCTGGATTTTCCCCTTACCCCCCTTCCCGTTTCTTGGTTTGAGTTGAATCACTTTCCAAAATCAACCATGCATATTGGCAAATAAGGAAATTAAGTGAGCTTATTTATATGTATTTATAATAAATAAAAAGGACATCAGTCGGCTTGGGTTCTGTCCGAAATCTCTCACAAGTCCCATTTACTGAGTAAACCACTTAGATTAATTGTAAAGAAAGGTGGGGGTGGTCCATCTAAATGAAAGGTTCCAGGATTTCACTGAAAATAGTGAAATTATTCTGGGGCACACATGCACAGGTAAATCTCACTGAACTGCTAGGGATTCTTGTTTGCTACTCACCCTGCGTAGAACTGGCTGTGGAAGAGTTCCAATTTTGCCTGGATTTCACCCATGGTGTGGTTGTCATCATCTATTGATTGATTTGATTTATCTACTGCTTCTTTAACTTAAAAACCCCACAGACCTCACATAATGAAATGTGCTAATTAACAGCCAGTAAAAAAGTGGTGCTTGTTTTTAGCAGCATAGGAGAGCTTTAGAATACACAGAAGGTTGCTTTCCTAGCACTCTACCTCTTAGGCAAGACAGCCATGTGTGCTTGATTCAAGCATTAAGTCACAGCAGGACTTGCCTTTGTATTAATGGGATTAGCCTTTGTTGGGAATGTAATCCGGAACTCAACAGTTTATTCCTCCGTAGGCATGATTAATGTTGGGGAGAAAAATCCAGCCGTGTACTTGTCTACCCAACAGAATTCAGCATTAATTCTATGGGGCTTTCTCCCATATTAGGCAGGTATAGATAGGAAGCCATCCTTCACATGGCCATGGAATCCACTACTCTCGGCACCTCTTGGGTGGTCTTGACACCTTGGCTATCAAAAAAAGTTGATCTGGGCCCATGTCATGTTTTGAGACCTGTTTGGTTGGTGGGTTGTAGTTTAAACCCGTTGTAGTTTAGAACAAAGTAGTTGGGAACGCTGACGAAGTTTTGGTGAACTTGGTGGATTTATTCTTTTGGACCAAAGGTCTTTTCCCTGCAAACTGAAGGTTATGAGAAGGAGGGACTGAATGGATTTGCATGTGGAAGATACAGAGTAGCATGTTATTCAATGATGCGATCTGATCCTGAGAGCAATCTAGAAAAGTTTGTGGACTTCTATGCGGGGGAAAACACAAGCCACAAAATAGGTGCACAATTACCTGTGCGAAACCAGGATTTTGTGTGCACGCTTAATGACTTGCGTAGACTTCTCTTTTTTTCTTTTCTTGCAAAAGCTGTCTTAGCTTGCAGTTCTGTGGCATCTAAAGCATTTTGGTCTGCAAAACAGTCTGCCTGCAGCATCGAATGCTTGCGTAGGAAAATTTCAGACCGGATGGAGCAGACCAAGCCTTTGTCCATTTACTTTGGAAGTAAGTTCTTCTGAGGCCGGTCGGTCTTAGCTCATAAGCGAGTCTTGCTCATGTCGCAGCCCTTGAAGTAATCCAGTTTATTCCCTGAATTTGGTGATTGCATCTTGTCGTAGCTCAAGCCGGCCATCCTGAAACCAGTTCAGCCGGTGTTTTATTTCATTGTTAAATCCACCCCAGCAGTATTCTGTGGTGTTGTTTTGTTTTGTTTTGTTTTTTTCTTAATGGTCCTGCAACGTATCGCCTGTTTCTGCACGTGTATTGTTTTGAGGACCAGTCAGTCTTGTCCTGATGTTTTCTGAATTGTTTTTGTGTGCCTTCTTGGGTTTTTAGGCATTTGGGGGTAATTAGGATTGTACTTTTGTCAATGTTTATTGTTACACAATAAACCACACAGAGATCTGAGTCCTCTGGTGTAACTGGATGATGCATCAGGTTGCATTGTCCATTTTGTCGATTCACGGATCACACCCGTAGCCTCTTCCGGATCCTTGCCTGACCAATAAGTATAAATGGGTAAACTTTGTATGGAGTAGGGGATTGTTTTTGGCTTGAGTTTGAACAAAGTTTTCTGGTGGTGGCTGATGCTTTATTGATAGAATGGTGTGATGGGTGTGTATTGTGTTAAAACCGGAGCGGTCTCGCCTTTCAGTGTCGGAGCCGCCTTGCAGATTGGTACATTGAACGCCTTGAGGCCTTGATCTGTCCATGGCTATTTATGTTACAGGCTGAGGGGGTGTAACTATTTAAGGTTATTAAACCAATTTCCAGGGCTGTCGCAAATGTTATGCTAATGGAAATGGGACTCACAATGCCTCCAAACCAGGTTGTCGCTAGCATTTAATTTTAATTAATACACTTCTTCCCCCTCCAGAAAACTCCCTTCTTTCTTGCCTGTTTAGGGGAAAGGAGTCTGTGATTAACCCTCATCCAGAAAGACATATGGTTTCAAATTGGTTTCTTCTCATTTCCATTTTAATTTCTTCATTTTATTTTTCAGAAGGTTGGGTTATCTACATGTATTCCAGGTTCAGACAAATAAACACATGGCCTTGAACAATATCAGATATGTCTGCGCCACAAACAGGAAGATAATAATTGTGTTTAAATATTGCAGCTGATAGGATGCCAGGAAGATTTTTGTGTGTGTGTGTGCTTATTTTTGCAAAAACAAAAAAAAACACAGAGTTTTAATTTGGAAATGAATCATGATGTTCAGATAAACAGTTATTAATTCTGGCTCAGAGCCGGAGGACTGGAATTAACGGGGATTATTTAAATGCAGAACGGTTTTAATTGTTCTGTTCCTGCTCTCCCAAAAAGAGTTGCAGCATAAAAAGTATTAGAAAGAGCCTGATCTTAAAAAGAAGCAAGTTCTTTTTTCAACAAGAGGCATCTGTTAATACCAATGGGATTTATAATTGTTCTCTCTTCAGGTAATAATGATTGGAAAGCTTGAATTCTTCAATTGCCAGCTTATGAAAGTATTGCGTAATGTTAAAAGATTGAAGAGATACTGCCCACATGGAGATACTTGCTTTGGAAGCATGCTGCAGTGGACACTAATACTTAGGTTTTAGATTGCTCTCAATGTTTGATGGTGTGATTTTTTTTTTCAGTCTGAAGTATTCACCAAAGTCACCACTAGATAAATGAAGTCTCTCTCCCCTCCCCCTCTCCCCCATATAAACATTTTAAGGCTCTGGCAGGCTGCATGTATGTGCAGTGTATTAAACTGCTGCTAATGTAATTTTGAGTTGGCTGGATAGCTCAGTGGTTTAAGTATCTATCTGTGAAGTCACATGTTGGCACTGGGCCTGCAGGGAGAAGAGCCAACCTGTGTAGCCTTGGGCAAGCTGCACCGTCCCAGGGTACCCCAGAAGAAGGGTAGGGGAAACTACTCTTGAGTATTCTGTACCTGGAAATTGGAATTGATTTGATGGCACAAAGGTTAATGTAATTTTGGGTAATGTAATTAATGTAATTTTGGGGAAAGCTGCTGCAAGCAGATCTCTTTGGGCTGCTCTATAAGCACAGAAACTAAGCAAGACCGACTTTTATCATGGCAACTTGGAAACAGTCAAGCAATTGCATAACAGAGCAGAGTTCATTAACTGGGTTGGAAAGGCAGGAACAGTGTTGAGTGGTTAGCCCTGAGAGAGTCTGTCTGAACTCATGAAGAGAGAGTTACAAGATTAGTGATGAGGGGATGGATGGAACCAGCAACTTTTTCTGGCAGTGGTTGTTAAAAATGTTGTTTGTTTTGACACCGGGTAGTTTATCCATTTCATGAGAAGAGAAAACTCCCTGGAAAAGGCCCTGATGTTGGGAAAGTGTGAAGGCAAGAGGAGAGGGAACGGGAGAGGACAAGATGGCTGGACAGTGTCACCGAAGCGACCAACATGAAATTGACCCAACTCCGGGAGGCAGTGGAAGACAGGAGGGCCTGGCGTGCTCTGGTCCATGGGGTCACGAGGAGTCGGACACGACTTAATGACTAAACAACAACAAGTTTTATTAGGTAACCCTGTGAATTTGCACTAATGCAGAAACGTTTTTAATGCTTGGTCTTTGAAATGCATACAAAAATGGGGAGATAACATGCTTCTTGCATCCTTGCTTGCTTTTTTTTCTTTTTAAAGGGAGCCCCTAGCCATCTGTAGAACCTGAGGTAGAAGGCAGAATGTGAAGACTTTCTTCTTCCTAATTGTTTTGTCTGATCTTTCCTTTTTAGTCCATAAAGGAAGTGATTAACACTGAGAAAAGCAAAGCTAACCAGATAGATGTAAAGAAGGTTAAAGTGACAGTAATGAGAAGAGATGCCTGATTTATGTTTAAGGTG